ATTATTTTTTTAAGAAAATTATTCTTCTTATTAAATAATAAATAATTTTAATTATTATTTTTTAAAATTACCATTAAATTATTTAAATAATTCAAACAATATCCTATCAACTCTTTATTGGTAGTAACAGGGAATATGCTTTTAACCTTTATGCTTTGTCAACAGTTATATAAGCGACAGCAGTGTTGATTACAGCTGGATTCACGAGCTCTGCTTTTCTTTGTTTATTTTAAATTTCTCTCGAGCATTTATAGATATATAAATAAAATTTTACTTCTAAAAAATTTATTTTTTAAAATTTACGAATTACCTTCAAAATTCATAGATGCCTCTTATTGACTTCTTCATTGACTTGCTTGCATTTGAAAGTTGTCTCTACTCCTTAGCTAGCTCAATTATAAGAAAGAGTGAGGTTTGTTATCAGATGTCCACCTTTTATAATTTCTTTTTCTGTCAAGCACGAAGGTATGTCATCTACTTCTTCAATCTTGATATCCTCTTATGTTCTTTGTTGAGAGTTCATATGCGCATTTACATATATTATACGTAAGTATAGCATGGACTAAACATATCTTGCGCTTAAATGAAGGGGTCATCAGCCAAATCATTCTTGCTAAAGTTCGTCTGTGTTTAACAGCTAGTGGCTTGAGTTCCTGAACTTCATCTATCGAAGTTTGTAAGTATGGTTAATTATATAGTTTTGGTCCTGTTACCAAGGCACCTTTTTAATTTATTTCTAAACTTCATATGGTGTGCATGAAAAACCATGCTTGGTGAAGCTCTGGTTTGAAAAAGCAAGTGGTGCTTTTTTGTCTGTCTGTGTCGGATACATGGTGTGAAGGTGAGAGGCTTCTCTTCCCCTCGCACGGCGGATTTTTCTTTCCCATTAGGTTTATATTTTATTGCTTATCAGGTGATTTATGGTTTTTAATTTTTAGAAAATTTACAACTTTAAGTAAAAAAATTATTTAATGTTTTATTTTTCAAAATATTATTATGATTCTTAAATCCCTTCTCTCCTCTCCTCTTTTATCATTTGGATAACTTAAAATAATTAAATGCATTAAAAGTGAAAGATAAAGTAAAAGGGTTTTGTCTCCCAAATCAAATATACCCTCAGATGTTAATGTTAAAATTCGTCTTAAATGAAATTTAATTGCATATCTTTCAAAAGTTTGAGAACCATATTGCATATCTCCTCTTCTCAATCTAGGATGGTGTTATTGCCACAGCTTCAAAGGTTAACACCACACTACCACGGCCTTTTTTAATTAATTGACCATTATGCCATCTCTTATATTTGGCTTTTGTTTTTCATGTCATCTTTCATGAGCAAAATTCTCGGGCCCCACCTTTAATTTTACTTTTGCCCCCAAGTGAAATTAGAGTCTTGTCCTTGTCCTCTCCATTTCTTCATTCCCAAATCCAAGAGGCAAAACCATAAGTTAAGCCCCTGAACTAACCCCAGAATGGCTATTAACTCCCTAGACTTTAATTGATGCAGTTAAGCCCTTAAACTCTGGGATCAAAGCAATTAAGCCCTTCTTCTTACGCAATTTATTTTAAAAATTAAAGTCTAGGGGCTTAATAGTGTAAGAAGAAGGGCTTAATTGCTTTGATCCTAGAGTTCAAGGGCTTAACTGCATCAATTAAAGTCTAGGGGCTTACTAGCGATTATGGGATTAGTTCAGGGGCTTAACTTATGGTTTTGCCAATCCAACATTCAGCAAAGTCAAAGCCAACAAGCAACCAAATTCAAAACCATAATCAATTGTCATTTAAGCCTACAGTTCAATTGTCAATCACAACTGAGTGGAAAGAAACAAAAGTCTGAATTAATTCTTAAAGTTCATAGATTTAACAACCTTCAACAAATCCAAATGTGAACCAAAAAAATTTGGGTTTGTGAATCCCTGAAATGAATCTAAAGATTAACCGGTAGCTTCAGAGGAAATGAAGGAGGGGAGGGAAGGAGGGGAGAAGAGTCTGAACAAAATTCAGATAGGTTAAATGGGAACTCAAATTCGAGTTCATTCGAATCCAATTCATCTAGGTTCCGCACGAACCTAGATTCGGGTGGGTTCATAAATCCAAATCTGCTGGGTTTGATAAAAGGGGATGCAGAGGAGAGGGGAAGAAAGAAGGGGATGGACGTTTGGAGAAGGTGGAAGGGAGGGGTCTGAAGAATAAATTCGTAAGAACCCAGAATTCTGGGTTTTAAAACCCACAAGTCTGGGTTTGTACGAACCTAGATCTGGGAAGAATGAGGAGAGGAAGGGAGAAAAGGGAAAGAATGAAAAGAAAAGGAAAGAGATTGTAGAAGGTAGAAGGGCGAAAGTGCTGGAGAAAAGAGAGGAGGGAAAAGGAAGAGCTGAATGATGGAGTTGAGGAACGTGAATGGGGAAAAAGAAAGGGATCGGGGGAAGAAGATAAAGATGATAGGGATATAAGTGTAATTTCGAAAAATACTTTTAATATTAAATAATTGTAATGTGTTTGGAAATTTGACTTGGTCTTCTTTTTTTTTTTCTTTAATTACACCTACACTAAGTGTATAAGGCAAAAACCAACATTTAGCCCTTCATTTTATAAAATTGATAAGTTTTAACTCTTTATTTTACTTTCTAATATGACAAATTTAACCATTTATCTTATAAAATTAGTAAGTTTTAGCCTCTCACCTTACAAAATTGGTAGGTTTTAACTCATTATCTTATATTATGATATTTTTAGTCCATCATTGATACGAATTAAAGAAAATAACCCTCACTTAACATCAAGTTATAACGTTTTATTAGTTTTGTTAATTGATTATTAATATCTGTTAGCATTCTGTTATAAAAAATATTAAATTTTAATTTCAATTTTATTTGTTAGTTTCATTAACGGAATACTAACGGATGCTAACGATCAACTAACATAACTAATAGTCAGTTAATAAAACTGACAATCAGCCAACAAAATTAACAGTTAACTAACAGAATTGACAGTCAAGTAACAGAACTAACAGTCAGCTAATAGAATTGACAGTCAACTAACAAAACTAATATAATATTAAAACCTGATGTTAAATAAGGATTATTTTCTTCAATCGTACAGTCAGTTAATAAAACTGACAATCAACTAACAGAATTGACAGTTAACTAATAGAATTGATAATCAGTTAATAGAACTGACAGTCAGCTAACAGAATTGACAGTCAACTAACAAAATTAATATAATATTAAAACATGATGTTAAATAAGGAGTAGTTTTTTCAATTTGTACAGATAAAAGGTTAAAAGTATCATAATATAAGGTGATGGATTAAAACTTACCAACTTTGTAAGGTGAAAGGTTAAAACCTACCAAGTTTATAAAGTAAAAGGTTAAAACTTACCAAATTTATAAAGTAAAAGGTTAAAACTTATCAACTTCATAAGGTAAAGAACTAAAGTGTCATATTATAAGGTTAAGAGTTAAAACCTATTAATTTTATAAAATGAGAAGCTAAATGTTGGTTTTAGCCAATTGTTTAACATGTTATTACGACATCTTAACAAAAATGCTATCTTGAATGGATTTAACGGCCATGTTAGCACTTAATTGATTGGGACTAAAATTGTGTAATTTTTATAATTAAGAGATTATTAAAAAATATATAAAAATAATTATAGAATTAAAAATACATAAATTTTAAAATTAAAAAAAAATTAAAATTAACATTTAACCCTCTACGTTATGATGCTAGTAAGCAATATGATGTCTAAGGAGTAGTTTCTCGTTGAATTTGTAGAGGCTTGAAAAGGTACTTAATCATGATTATTCTCATAATCGATACACTGTGCAATTGTTATTATCATTTCTTTAGAAAATCACATTTCTCCTTGAACATCTTCATTGATTAGAGATTTTGGGTACCGTTTTGGGGCAAAAGAATGTGTAAAGCTCATGTATATTAAGGTCTTTCTTAGTAATTGAATTGAATTTTGTTTTTTGTTAGGAACAATTGTGTCCAATATTATTTGTGTTTGATCTTGGGAATCGCAATGGATGAGAGAATGAGGGATGTCGCTGAAGCGGGAGACATTAAAGCCCTGTATGCACTAATTCAGGAGAATTCATTTGTTTTAGAGAGCATTGATAGATTTCCTTTCGTTGACACTCCACTACATATAGCAGCCTTTAAAGGGCACATTGATTTTGCCATGGAAATGATGAACTTAAAGCCATCGTATGCAAGGAAGCTAAACCCAACTGGGCTAAGCCCCATGCATCTTGCCCTGTTAAATTGCCAAATTCATGTAGTACGTGAGCTCCTCAAAGTTGATAAAGATCTTGTCCGTGTCAAAGGGAGGGGCGGTTTGACTCCTTTGCATTATGCAGTGGAGAAGGGGAACCTGGATCTTATCGCTGAAATTTCTTGAGGCTTGCCCCGTATGCATCACAGATGTGACCATTCAAGGCCAAAATGCCATACATATTGCGATAAGCAACAACAACTTCGAAACTCTAGAACTTTTGGTTTGTTGGCTTGAAAAGATCACTCACAAAGATGCTGACATTTGGTATAAACAAGTCCTGAACGGGATAGATCGAGGAGGAAACACAGTTCTACATATAGCTGCATCCATTAATCATCCCCGGGTATGGATATCCTCATCCACTCTAATTTTCCCTTTTTTTTTTTTTTTAATTAGTCTGGTTTCATTAACTTACCAAAGCTTAGAGTATCAAAGGAAAAAAAACAAAATGATTTGATTAGTGGCAACATTTCATTGATTAAAATCTATTTGTTTTTCTATATATGCTGAGCAGATGATAAGATTATTATTAGCATATAAGATGATCTCCAAGAACGAAGTCAATTTGAATGGCCAATCAGCTTTGGATATGTTATCCGGTCAAGTTAACAGCAGCGAAACTGCAAACATTCTTCGTCAAGCTGGATGTCTAGAAGCCGAAAGAATTCCTGCGCGTCAGACATTAGCAGAGTCATTGAGAACAAGAATGTCTTGTTCACAGAAATTACGAAGAACAATGGTGCGCCAGAATAACATGATATCTAATGACATGAGGAATGCTATGCTGGTAGTAGCTGTATTGATCCTAACAGCAACCTACCAAACATGTCTTAGTCCACCTGGAGGTGTTTGGCAGGGTAACTTAGGCGACCCAATGCCCAGTCGCTTAGATATCAGTCCCTCAACTGCACCTTCCCCTCCCTCAAGAGTACTTTACACTCCCCCACCCCCACCTACGACCGAATCCAAATTTGGGACGCCCCTATTCAACCCTACCCAAACTCGACCCCCACCTACGACCCCACCCCCACCCCCACATACAATTGTGATGCCCGTAATCAACCCTCCCCGACCTCGACCCCCACCTACAACCCCACCCCCACCTACGAGTGGGGTATTCAACCCTCTACCCAACAAGGTTGCCACTGAAAGTAAGGTCGGGCTCTCAATCATGTCCACACCTAATTTTATATACTTTTATTTTATAAACACTGCAACTTTCTTGACTACAACAATCGTAGTGTTTTTCCTACTTTCTGATAACACAATAAACCTGCTTACCTTACCAGTCATGTTATTCATTCTTTGCTACTTGCTGTCAATGACGTACCTAGCTCCATTTCATTTTCCAATTCCTTTTTCCTCTCCGCTTCAACCATTTGCACCTATTATCGTTGCTACTCTGCTCTTCCTTGTTGTGTGTTTGCCTAAGTTTTTCAATCTTAATCTCCAATAAAGGGCTAGTTTAAATGTTTCTAAAAAGGAAAGTTATTGCGCACTTGTATTTGCATTTTGCTTAATGCTAGGTATCTTCTTAATATGCTACTTTTCATGTTGAGTACTTTTTATCTCATGAATCATGAACAGATCACGATGTTCCCATTTCAACGATACAGTAAGAGCTGTCATACCCTCAATAAAACAAGAGAAGTCAAAAAATGATTTCCCACAGCATAGCCATGGTCGAAAAAGGGATGGATACCCATGGCACTAGGGGAAATGACTTATTCCAGAATTTGCTACGTAATAACTTGCAGTTGCAAACAACTACGGAACTACACCAAATTTTAAGTGACTGTTAACATAAGCAACAAATCATATAATCCTCCTTATGTAACCCTCCACTGCTAGCTTTGAAAGGCTATACTGTTTGTTAGACACCCACTCACTTGACTTCTAAATTAATAAAGTTATAAATAGAAGGTTTATGGACACCTAAGTGTAGGGGAGACATTCAATGGCCAATCATATGTTTCAATATTGTCTTGAAATTAAAAGATTAATTTAATAATTACATAAGTCTTAACATATTTAAACCACTTTTTATATTTTTATTTTTTCAATATAAAACTCTTGCTCTTTCACACTCATAAGGGAATACATACTTAACACTCCTTTTCACTTGTGAAGGCGTAGTGAGTGTGTATATATATATATATATATTGTTTTTTGGACATAAATTCAATTTTTAACATATATACATGATCTAGAGTATATAATACACATCATAAACACAACATTATTCATGGATATACTTATTATGAGTTTACATAATATATACTCTCATTTTTTTTCTAAGTCTGGTTTAAAACTAAAATTATCAGTGATTATGTTAACAATTAACTCTGGTATTATTTATTGAGAAGACATCTAATTTAACAAGAAGGCATTTGGTGACCCATCATATATTTTGATGCCATATTGCTATCTTATAACTAAAAATTTAATCCAATAATCACATGAAATATTCCTCAAACAAATTTTAATGGTTGAAAATTCGAACCTTTCTTCATGTTCGAGTATTTTAATTTATGAATCAAGAACCAATTATGACGTTCCAATTTCAATGATGAATTAAAAATTGTTATGCGTTCGTTATAACATGAGCCAGAGGTCAAAAAGAAAGAGGTTTCCCACAACATGGACATGGATGCTAGAAAGAAATGAGATCCGTTAATTAGTTGCATGATTTACGTTTGAAATCATTGACGCTACTTAGATAAAATGATTCTTCTTTTTGCTAAAATCGAGTCCATTCTTTTCTTTCCTTTATTTATTTATTTTGTGGGGATATAACATGCGAGACGGGGAAGTAACCGCTTGGCTGAGTTTTAGTTCCGGATTTTCCAATTTTTTATTAGGGGTACGCATTGGTATGAGTATATTCCATATCCGTAAGTATTTTATATGTTCAAACTTTCAATAAGGATAATATTTGAATGATAAACAAACATGGTAAATAATAAATATGAAAATAATATATTTATAAATATTAAGTTAAGTAATAAATATAAAAATTTAGAATTATTTATCTGACTTATTTAATTAACTTGTTTAACTCAC